TCTCTCTCTGTGTGTGTGTGTGTGTGTGTGTGTGTGTGGATGTCAGAAGTGCTCGAGGAAAACAATTGATCTGGATGACTGACCTTCTACTGGGAATTAACGGTCAACCTGAGGGTTCCGTATATGTAATCAAGACAACGTGCTGTTACGTGCACATGTTCACGCTCGGCTCCGCTTCTCCTGTACCAGCCGCAGAGTCCCTCCTCCTCTGCTCTAGTTCCCCATTTCTGTCTCTTCTTTGAACGCCTTTCCCGGGTTTCCCCCCAACAACAACATCTCTCCATTCTGTTAAAGCTCCAGGATGTCCTTTCCTTGGCAGCACTATGACTGTTCTCACTTGGCTGTCTCCCTCCTCTGTCTGTTCCTCCTTCCTCTCCCTCCGTCCCTCTGATCTCCTTCTCGTTCTCCGTTACTGCTTATTGAGACAAAACGGCTGTGCCCTATGTTGCCAGGTGTACCCCTCACTATTCTTATGTCTTCCCACACTTGTTAGTTTTCTATCTGCTCTCTTCCCCTCGTTCTGCCTCCTCTGCTCTGTCTTGGCCATCAGCCTCCTTTGTTCGTCTCCACCATTGACTCACAGACATAGTTGGCTCTGCCCTGTCCCTCCTGCTACCGACCGTTTTTTTGGCTTCCTCTCTGTCAGTCCTTTTTCTCATGTCCGGTAGCCTTATGATCAGGTATTGATGGCCACACAGCAAAAATGTGCCCAATGAGGGCGACCAAGTTACTACCCTGTAGACCCTCTGTTGGGACCCAAACAAGGCAAGTACCTGGGTTACGATCCAGGCACTGGAGACTCAGACCTCGACCTGATAATAGAACAAAAGGAAGGAGGCCGGGGAAATTGACACGTTGGGCAGCGGGCAGTATCTGGCGCGAGCGCTATTTGAGCTCAGCAGCAAGCGCCTGCACCTGCAGGAGGAAGGCAGCTTGCAGTAGTTGCCTGGCCAGTGGCAGCCATGGATGGCTGTGCTGAGAGGTGGAAGGTGGCAGGAGGTTGGGGTTGTAGGGAGAGAACAGTGGCAGTGGGACTGGAGGATACGTAGTGTTGGCCGAGGAGCGCCTCATGTGATCACTCTTCAGTGGTATCTCGCGAGAAGGGAGTGAAGAGAGCAGGTGAGAGGCAGTAGGCTAGAGGGTGTTGGCAAGCAGGGTAGTATAGACACGTCATAGATAGGGCTAGTACTCTGTTGTTATATCGATTGTTCGAGGTGCATAGAGGACTTTCATTGTGAAGGGACTTCAGTGTTAAGTGTGTTCGTGGATTGGACTTCAGTGTTCACTGTGTTCGTGGATTGGTGTGCTCATGGTTTAATTATGTTTGGTCTTAGCTCTTGCATCTCAATTTTTTTTCGTGTTTGCATCGACTGGTTCTTTGCACAGGTATGAAGAACTCTACACATGCACGTTGTCCTTCTGACAAACCCTGAAGAAATTTCAAGATATAAAAGGAGAGATCACTTTTTAATAGTTTTTTATGCACTCTCCCACCTCTCTCCTCTCTGCCCCAACTGTCTTGCATGCTCATCTATCTTCCAGCCACTGTAGAGGAATTTCAAGATACAAATGGAGTGACCTCTTTGTTATTTTTTATGCACTCTGTCCTCTCTCCTCTGCGCCTTTATGCTCTCCTCCTCCTCCGTGTGTCACAGGTTTTAAATCAGGGTCCGTGTTTGTCATGAAGTGTATCAAAGACCTCTGCAGCTGATCCACTTGTCATGTCGGGGACCTGGACATATGGGGCCTAAGCGTGGACTTTTTTGGGTGCCTGGCCATCTTTTGGGCCTAGCGGTAGTTCAGCATTCACATTGTTCCTATTTTCATACCTTTGGTTTTCCAAGGTTTATGTGGATATGACATAGAATGACGAGGTGAGGACAGTTGCTGGATGGGAAGGCTAGTATTAGGAGCAAGAGGAGAAGGTGGAATATGAAGAAAAGAGGATGTCAGGAGGAAGAGGGGGTAGCATGGGAGGATCAAGATCACGCAAGAGAAGGTAAATCGAGACAAGCAGAAGATGGGGGGAGAATCCACATTGCAATTGGGAAGAAGTAGGTTAGGGGGGAGGAGGTTTGAGGGAGAAGGGAAGTGTAGGGAACAGATCGGGTCTGTGAAAGGGTATGTCAAAATCAGGGAATGGGTTGCATGAAATGATTGTGGAGAGGAAGGCAATGTGGTGAGGACTCATATGATGCAAGACTGAGGAAGTTTTTCTCTTGATCCCTTGCTGTATCATAAAATAAACAGCACGAGTTTCAGAAAGAGGAGGGACACTTGGGGA